TTTTTTTTTTTTCCCCCTCACCCTTTTTGTCTCTGCTTGTGATATGGGCATAAGGGATGATACTCTTGTTTTGGAAGAGCTGTTTTCTGTCGTAGCATTTACCAGCTAGCCACACCATCAGGGAGGGTTTATACCTGTCCCCAAGCCCAATTAGGTCTCCAAGAGTTTGGGAGCTGGAGACAGAGATCCTGTGGCCAACTCGGATGTAGGTGAGCCGCTGGACTCCACTCTGGGAGAAGTATTAGGATGGATGTGTCCCTTGGAAGAAACAACCAGAAAGCGAACCGGGAGACAGAGGATATTGGTGTCCATTAGCCCCCCTTGGTAACGCTTACTTCTTGTGTTTTTACAGATTATCAAAGACCTCCAGTTGCTGGCAATGGTGGCAGCATTGGTGCTGGCGGACGCCGTGTTGCTCTTGACGTGGGTATTCTCTGATCCGGTCCAGTGTTTCCGAAGCCTCAGCGTCTCACTGCGGGTAAAGGGATGAGGAGGGGCGGTGGAGTGTTGCCCTGTGATCTCTGTGGACAAAGTTGGTGGGTGGTCAGGCATTTGGAGGTGCTGTTTAAACAAATAGAAAGAAAAACAAGCCAGAAAGCCTTCTGGGTGCTCCGAGTTGGGTTTATGTCAGGCCTATTAGAGAGATGAGGTTCCGCTGCAAAATTTCCAGGTCTGTGCACCCAAACCTGGCAAGGGATAGCTGGTTGTAGGGCTTTGGTTTGCCAAGCAGTGGGGTCTGGTGGATGATCTTCACCAGCCCGTGCAGGTCCACCTGGGTGACACAGGAGAGGTCCATGGCATCTGCAGATGCTTTAGAGAAAGGTTTAACTGGCCCTGTTGGCAGCGGAGTGCCAAAATCTTCCTCGCTTTAACCCTCTGTCCCTGGCAGCACCAGCTTTGGCCTTTCCTTTTAGGAATTTACAGAGGAGACCTGCTCAAATGTGTAGACCTGTCTGCCCATCGGTCTGTGCCTGCTCCCGGGCAGCAGCCTTCACTTCTGCCTTCCGCTTGCCTCCTAGGTGACAGAGAAAGGCATGGCCTGCTCAGTGAGCCAGGTGCAGTCCTGTGCATCTCTTTATTCCGATCTTTGGCTCATTCTCATTTTAGGGTTTAAGGTACGTAACCTCTTTATTGATTCTTGCGTTGCATCTCGCCTCCTCCCAGTCTCACAGCCTAAACTGTTCAGCAGCATTCGTTGTTTCACTGCCCTCCCAAGCTACATGCCTGTTGCAGATTCCAGCTACTCCTGTTCATCTTGAAAGCCCTCCCATCTCCAGTCCTTCCCATCCTGATGTTTTCTTGCATTCCCTTGTAAAAGCCCTGTTAGCCACTTTTTTCCCTGCCTCACCATCTCTTTTACATACACTGTGCACATACTGTCTTTCTAGTTGTCTCCCTGCAACCCCCCACACCTCATCTATCTCCCTGCTTAAAACTTGTGTCTTCCTATTTTCTAAAGCACCCTCTTTCCATAAAGCCTCAGATGACCATCCACCGCAGTGATGCACTTTGCAGCTCAGCCCGAGTCCTCTGACTCCGAATCAGGGAGGTGCTGATGACAAGTGCTTGGTGCCTACCTTTACAGGATGTGTACCAGCTTAATTATACCACTGAGGTACACTTTCACTGGTGTAGCTTTGCACGTCGCCGTTCTTATTCCAGAAGAGTTAGTTATACTGATGTAACTATGTAGGTATAATTATCGCTGTAATTATCTGTGGTCTCATGTGTCTCTGGGTTGGCAGAGGCTGGACGTATTTCAGAAAGCTGATGTTCATGAAGCTTGTGAGATCACAGCCTTTCTTTGGGAATGGTTCCATCTCTGCGTGCAGCACATGCAGTTCCTTTCTGACTCACTGTAATATAATACTCATTGACCATCTACCCAAGATCGTAGGAAAAAGAGCAGGAAGAGACCTCATGACACCGCCAAGTCCTTCTCCCCCTACACTTCATTTTAAAGACATTAGTCTAGCCTGTCCTTAAAAGTCCTTTGGTGCTAGGGATTGCAGGCGTTCCCTGGGCTTTCAGTGCTGTGTCTCCACCTCTGATTTTGTCGGCAGTTTGTGTTAGGGTTTAGACAGGTAATGCTTTTGCCTACAGCTCCTGCAAACTGCTTTTTGGAATAAAACATCCCCATTACCAGTCCCAGGTACTCTTTGTTAGCATTGCATTGAACCTGACCCTGATCCTATCTACCTACTGGGGATCATGGAGTTATTTCTTCAGTGGTTTCTCTGGAGTTAATCTGGATTTACACTAATGTGAGAGTAGGCTCTATATCTGCGTGTACGTAGCGCTTATCTTCCACAGTATTAATGTGCTCAGCCCTTTGTGAAGCCACTCAGTGTATTATCCTGGTTTTACTGGCACAGAGCAATGAAGAAATTACTTGCCAAGGACATGCCTGGAATTAGGAGCAAAGGCCTCTGCTCAAGATTAAAACAAGCAACCAAACAAAAAAACTGAGTACTGTGCTTACTGAAAGTTTTAGTTTACCAGATGGCAGTGCTGTTGTCTGTGTCCCAGATAGATTATATTAATTTTAAATGTGACTTTGGTGCTGTTTTTTTTTCTTGCTCGGGGATTAGGAGTTGGCTTGCATTTGCGCCATGTATTTGGAGGTGCCCTGTGGTGAATGTGGTTAAGATCCAGTGCAGATCCTACGAAGCAGGGCCAGGCATCAGCCTAGTTCCCAGCGAGGCAGGTCTCACTATTACAATCCCTCCTTGAGAATTCATGGTGCTCTGACGTTGAGAGTCTCACCAAAGAACCTCTCTTGCCTGTAAGAGTGTCCCTCCAGACCCTAACCCTGGCAGTGGCCATCACAGTCATCAAGCAGCCACAGCATGGAGGGGTCCAGAAGGGTCTACGGAACATCTGCACCACAGCTCACAAAGCACTTCTTGATGCCCAAACAACAATTTAATGTCTCTTAGTAAAAGGTCGACAGTTGCACGTACTGGGTAGCACAGGAATAACGTAGGAGTCGTGTTCCCAGAATTCTGGGTCCTTGCAGGAGCAGGGATTTTGTTAGATGGTATTTCCAAATGATCCTGAAGGCAGACCATGCCCTGCGCCACAGAGGCAGGCAAAAAATACTTGCTGTTTCCTGCCAGTGTGCCCTAGGGAAGGAGGGATTCAGCCTGCCGGGTAGTTTAATCCTGAGCACACTGGGAAGATGCATGCGTGGAACACTTGAGGGGCAGCGCGGCGAGGAAGCTTGCTCTGAAACAACCAACCTGCTCCGGGGGAAGAGAGGGCCTCTGCGTACGGAGCACTTCTCTAGCCCCTTTCACCGCTGCTAGTCAGGCAGGAAATGGCGAAGGGAAGGGAGAAGAATCGCACCTGGTAATTTCCTGGATTTCTATTTAAAGAGGCACCAAGTACATCCTCTTCCCTCCAGTCTAAACCTCCACTTTTTCTGCCTTGCTTTTTTCCTTCTGAATGTCCTTCTGAATCTCCTTCCTGCTCCTTCAGAGGTATGTTGTTGCTCCCTGATGGCACCCCACCGCTGCATCCCCGCAGGGACCTCTGTGTCTTGTCTGTCCATCTTTGCTGCTCCTGCTCCAGGCTGCCCAAGGGGAGGTTTTCACGTCTCGCCTCTCCCGGCCATGCCCTGCTCCGTGGCATCGCCTGCCGACCTGACCCTCAGCTCCTTGCACCCCTCGGTCGGGACCCCCATGGCCCACCAGCGCCTTCGCTCCTACCCTCCCTCCCCAGCTCCACTTTTGACCTGCGGCAGTGTGTCGGGCGTTTGCTGTGGCGTCACCACCACACACTGAAGGTCTGCATTATAGATCAAAGAGCATTAATTAGGATTGCGCTGAGTGTATCTGAGCTCACTGGGCTCGGTACGAGGTGGGGGTTGACACCGTCAGGTTGTGATTTTCCACACTCTGGAAACCTTTTTCTTCTGCTTCCAGAGTATCCTCCTGCTGTATGGGACCTACTTGGCCGGTCTGACCGACAACATCAGCTCCCCGCCAGTCAACCAGTCCTTGACACTCATCGTCGGGGTCAACCTCGTTTTCCTGGCTGCCGGCACTGTCTGCTTAGTTCACCGTTTCTTCCGCGCTTGGCACAACTTGCTGTTTGGTTTTACTTCTGGAGGCATCTTCATGTGTACAACCACAATCAACTGCTTCATCTTTGTCCCACAGGTATGCTGCCACCTCTGTCCCACCACCTGGCTGGAAACAAGCACATTTTTGGAGTTTAACAACAGCAGCTGTGTGGGCCAAAGCACTTATTTTCCTGCTTCTTTCCCCAAATGTTCGGGCTCACCTACACAGCTTATCCTCCAAGCCCCAATGGCTCTGCTTCCCCAGGCAAGTCCCCCGAGTCTCCAGGTAGTGCAGGTGCGTTGCAGAGCTGCTGCTCAGAAACCCTCCGGCAAGAGCGTGCTTGTGGGTGGCAGCCGCACAGAGGGCATGCGTGGAGGTGAGGCGGCTGCTGCCCTCCTCCTCCTCCACACGGGTGGTGGGATCGGTCCTTCATGCAGTTGTCCTCTCCTCATACCCCACGCACCCACTCCCACCAAGGGTTTCTGCCCACGGCAGGGATGGAGGTGGGCTCCAGCAATCCAGATGGCCTCGCCAGGCTCTCAGGCTTTGTGGCTGCCGGCGGTCCCCAGGCAAGGCTGTCCTCCCCTGCGCTCTTGGAGGAGGAAGCTGGGCTTTGCCGCAAGCGAGGGGGAGGATGCGGAGATGTTTTGAGGAAGCCTTTTGTGGCAAGGCGAGGCTCTTCTGCTTCCCGTGTCCTCCAGGAGCAGCCTGGTGTGCCTGGCCACAACGTTAGTGGGAAAAATGCTCCCATTGTTACAGGGAAAGGAAACAGTTGTTTACTCAGTGTTATGTTTGGAGGGATGTTTGGGCTCAAGGAAATGAGGTGAGAAAGGGAGGAAGAGGTGAAGCTGAAGAAAGAGCAGATCTGTGCAAGAGAAGACTCAGGGGATCTCACCAATGTGCGTAAATACCTATGGGGATGGAGTAGGGAGGGGGAGCCAGGCTCTTCTCAGTGGTGTCCACTGACAGGACAGGGGACAATGGGCACAAACTGAAACGCAGGAAATTCTGTTTAAACATCAGAAAAAGGTGGGGGTTTTTCTGTAAAGTTGTAAAGCACTGGAGCAGGTTGTCCAGAGAGGTTGTGGAATCTGCATGCTTGGAGATATTCCAGACCCAGCTGAACACGGTCCTGAGCAGCCTGGTCCACCTTGCTTGAGCAGGGTGGTTGGACTAGATGATCTCCAGGGGCCCCTTCCTACCTCAGTCGATGCAGTATAACTGCAGAGTCCCAACTCACTAGATGACCAGCCCATGGGAGCAGGATCCAAACCTCCTCTGACAAGCACCAAGCCTGCTGGAGATGCTCTGCCAAGCGTGAGGTCTCTCGGAGTGAGGGCGGAGGAGCTGATGAGCTGTACTCGCACTCTGCCTATACCATTTTTTCTGCTGTAGCCTGGGGGCCTTGAACATTTTATTTAACTTAGATCTTTTAATTCATCAACTTGTTTTTCCTAATGGGCTTGCTCTTCTATTGCTCATCCGAGATCGATGAGCAGCTGGAGCTGGGCTGCACAAGGCTTCCACACAGACATGAGACGAGAAAACGGATACGAAGCGTTGAGGGTTTTCAGCTTGTCACTGGTGATTCAGGGATAAGGAGGCGTGCATGACACTGTCTTTGTCTGTCACAGAGTCGGGGAGCGGGGAGAAGGGGGAAGGGGCTTTTACAGCACTCGTAGAGGTTGCAGCGCAGGCAGACACCGACCCTCTCTGCATTAAAAGCTGGAGCCAGGGACAGGGTAGGGCTCAGATGGGTGGGAGGCTCTAAGCAACGCTGCAGCCCCTCGCCCAGCCATCTCTCGCTGCCTGTCTCTGTTCCTCCGTCACACCCTGCCTTTGTCTCCCCCTCTCCCTCCCTTTGTCTCCTTCATGCTCAAGCTGTGCCTGCCTCCTGCCACATCGGCAGGGGCTGTGCATACTGCACCGATAACGCCCTTTCTACTCCCCAGCTCAAGCAGTGGAAAGCCTTTGAAGAAGAAAGCCAAACCGTGAGCCACATGGCAAAATATTTCACCAGTCCAAGCAGGAGCTGCCGCTCGGTGTACAGCGAGGAGCAGCTCTACCAGCTGATAGGGGAGAAAAACTCCATGAAGCGGCTGCTCACTGAGGTACGGGGCTCTGCCAGCCCCGCTCGGCCGTGCTGGCTTCTCCCCTTCCCTTTTGTGGGCTGAAGGCTTTGCAGGGTGGGAAGCCCTTCCTTACACCCCAGTCCACACTGGCACTCCCGCTGCAGCCTCTTCCCTCTGGAGGGGAAGAGCTGCTTTGTTTTGTCACATCACTCTGCACCCCAAAGCACCAAAATTTAGGCATAATCTGGAGGGCTTCAAAAAAACATGGAGGGAGAAGAGCAGGAGAGCCTGGTTTCCACAGCCCAGTCAAACATGGCTAATTTAGAGGGGAGATGCTCTATCTCAGGAAAGCCCCCGGACTCCTGCTCCCTCGCCCACACTGCATTGGCGGGAGCGCCCCAGCTCAGAGGGCCGCCTGCCCTGGTGCCCCCCTTCCCAAACCTGCATCTGGGGGGCTCTGGGGGGCTCCAGGGGAGGAAGAGGTCGCACACGCTGCCGGTGTGGTTCTTGCAGGACAAATCTGCAAACCTGCCAGCGCGCTGCCTCAGAGCACCTCCCCATGCGGTGCGGATTCATTTTCTGGCAGTGCCTGCTTCCAGATAGGTGGCATTTTTGTACCCTGTGCCCGCCCCGCACTTGACAGGCTTATTTGTTTGATGCAGAAAAATGCTGTGATCGAAAGCCTGCAGGAGCAAGTGAGCAGCGCCAAGGAGAAGCTGATGAGGCTGATGTCTGCGGAGAGTGGCTGCAACCCCCATGCACCATCAGCGGCTCCCTGCACCCAGAGTGCAGGGCAGCATGGGGATGCGCTGGGGGACCGCTGCCCCCTGGATCTGGAGCGGGATGGGCGGCAGCCTCCCTGCTTGCTGGGTATGCCACCTCTTTCCAGTGGTGCTCAGGACCAGAAACATGTGAGCCACAAGCATGTTTGCT